ACTTTGGTTCTGTCAGAAAAGTTAAAGGTTCCTTGGCCTCTTTGGTTGGTAAATAAATTTGTGTCTTTGAGAAAAAAATTCTTCCTAAAATTTATAATTTTCAGAGAGGCCTAAAGAGAAAATGAAAAGAAAGAGAAAAAGAAGGTAAAAATGATCAGGAACTGAATATTGATTTTTCTCTCTGGCAGCTTGTGGATGAGTTTTGTTTTGTTTTTTGGGTTTTTTTTTCCAATGTTAAGAACACAAAAAAGCATTTCTCTCTTACAAATCAGTATGGTTTCCAACTTTTGGAAACTATCTCCAGTTAGGTTAGCAAAGCTTACGCAGGAACAAAAATCAGATGTGGTCCCTGTATTGCCAACCTCTGTAAGTGGGGCCAGAATAAAACTGCAACTTACGACTGTATTCGAGAGGTGTAGTCCCTTTCCACCTGTGCCCTTTGCCCAGAACTAATGCCAGCTTGGTGGCATCAAAGAAGGTACATGAAGAAATTATAACTTGGATTCCTGCATCTCTAAAGGGATCAACTGAATCAGAGTTCAAGGAAAAACAGGTTCACCTACTTTAGGTTTGTCTTCCAGTTTAGAAATATCTAGGTCTGTTGAAACAGAGCTATAGAACTCAGGGGTTATATGGTTTTTTTGTAGTCATTTGTTACAGCAGCCCTATGAAACTAAGGCAGTCAGGAAATGATTGTCTCTGCCCTTAAGGTTTATAATCTCCTACAAGGTAGAGCATGGCTAAGGGCTTAAGAGCTGTGGTAACAAGCGCTTCAGGAGTTTAGGAGGTGAGAGAGCAAGAGATCTTATTTGTGAATAGGTAAAGCCTCAAGTAGGGAGTAGCCTGTGAATATCCAAAGGATGGACTGAATTTGACAGGGAGAAATGGGGGGTTGGAGGGAGAAGGGTATTCCAAGCAGAGGGAATGATGGGACAAAAGGAGCCAAAACTTAAGATGTTCAGAGGATGTGAAATGGTTCAGCTTGGCTAAACTCACCTATGGAATAGAGATCTAGAAAATTAGGTTAGTGTTAGACAGGGCCAGAAACAGTGAGTGTATTTTAACATATGCCTGTACCAGAGAAATTCTGAGCTGGTATCATCCAGCCCAGTACTGTTATTTTATATATAGAAAAGGAAGTGAAAGGATCGACATACTTTCCCCAAGATCCAATAGCCAGGTCTGGAGTAGAGTCAGGACAAAACTCCAGATCTTTTGTTTAGCAGTCATTCATCTTTGCAATAAATTTCTGTCTTTCAAATGTTCCTTACTCTCTGAACTAATTTTGAAAATTTTACTACTAAATATGAATTAACTGTTATTTTTTGAGCCCCAGTTATTTATATTCAATGTTAACTACCTACCTGGTTATGTTCAGAGACACACACAATAAATCTTTTCATAAAAATTCCTAGTGGTGTTGCTGGACACCCTCCCAACATTCCCCTCCATCTTTCCTAACTTTCTATAGCCCCTCTGCAAGAAAAGAAGATCTAAGCAAATAGCCATGTCTTAGTGTATGTTTTGCAATGTAAAATAAATATAGAAAAATCACCATTTAAAATATTTTATTTCCAATAGAAAAATAACCCATTATCTCGCTACTCAACTAACTCCTGTTGACTTTCTTTTTTTTTAAGGCCATACAGCTTTTTAAAATAAATATATATATATATATATATATATATATATATTTAATTAATTAATTGGACTGCGCCAGGTCTTCGTTGCAGCACATGGATCTTAGTTGCTTGCGGCATGCAGAATCTTAGTTGCGGCATGCATGCGGGATCTAGTTCCCTGACCAGGGATCAAACCCGGGCCCCCTGCATTGGAAGCGCATAGTCCTACCCACTGGACCACCAGGGAATGTCCTCTCTTGACTTTTTTTTTTAATGGAATACAATATAACATAAAATTCAAATACTGTGGAAAAATAAACGATAGGAGCTCTCTTTAGTTTGCTTCCAGGTCTTTCCCCAGATATGTACATCACCAACAAATTGTCTTTCCCCACCCCCCCAAAAAAACTGTACATTTGTAAATATTTTTCTTAATGTATCGTTATACAAAATATCCTGTGCCTTGTTTTTTAATTTTCCTTAAAAAAATTTCTGGAAGCTCTTTGGGTATTGCAACCTACAGAACCTTTTTTTTTTTTTTTGCGGTACGCAGGCCTCTCACTGTTGTGGCTTCTCCCGTTGCGGAGCACAGGCTCCGGACGCGCAGGCTCAGCGACCATGGCTCATGGGCCCAGCCGCTCCGCGGCATGTGGGATCTTCCCGGACCGGGGCACGAACCCGTGTCCCCTGCATCGGCAGGTGGACTCTCAACCACTGTGCCACCAGGGGAGCCCCAGAACCATTTCTTTTTAAAAGGCTTTATAATATTCCATTATAAGAGTTTGCCATCATTTAGTTAATATTAGCCATCATTTAGTTAGCCCCCTATTATTTCCAGTGTTTTCTTATTACAAACAGTGCTGAACAACATCTTATACATATATCTAAACTGTCTTTGTGAGTGTATCCACAGAGTAAGTCCCTAGTAGTGGAATTACTAGGATTTATCCTGCTATTCCGTTTAATATTTTCCCCACCCGACTGCAGTTAGAATCAAATCCAATTATCTTGATTTACCAGTCAGTCAAGACCTGACCCCTGCGTGCCTCTCCAACCTGTCAGTCACTCCTTCCTTATGACCTGGAGACACACCAGCCTTTTGTCTTCAGTCCTGCAAACTCATTTCTTACTTTAGGGCATTTGTACTTGCTCTTGCTTCTTGTAACACTCTGCAAAAGGTAGCTGACTCTTTGTCACTGTGGTTTCAACTATTTGATCAAAAACAAATAGACTGGTGGTTATTACTCCAGTAAAGGTGGGTTTATCCAGGATCAACAGAGAATTGCAATTCCTGGTGTGCAGCCATGACAAACCACATGCAAGTCATCACAGAAAAAGAGAAGGAAAACACTCTGATAGAGGGGAAAAGGAAGTGGGGAGGGCAGTAGTAAACAAAGCGTCCATGGCTTTTCATTGATTGAGTAGTTGCCAGGAAAAAAAGAGAAGTCTTTCTTCTTCCTATTGCACTCTGCTGTGGTCCCGGGGCAGGAGAGCTCCCCCTTCTGGTCTCCTGACTCTATTTAATTGAGGTTTCTGTGTATTAATTTTTTACACACACATAGTCACCTTCTCAGTGAAGCCTTTGGAGCTTTACATGAGCACTCCCATGTCTTCAGATGATGCTATTTAATTTTAATCTTAGGACGTCACCTTTATGAAATTATTTTGCCTTCTGCTCTGGAAGGTGAGCTTCAAAAGAGCAGAAGTCCTGTCTCTCTTCTTCCCCTGACTCCCACGAGCTCAGAAGATCACAGGCTCATGCAATATCTAGTAAATAAGTGGTCAAAGGATAAGTGTATTTAAAATGATTAAAAGGCTGCCAGATTGCTTTCCAGGTGAAGTCACTAGCTTTCACTACCACTGACAGTGCGTGTTCTGAACACCCTCGACAGCACGTAGTACTATCAAGAATCTACCATTTTTGGCAAGTGTCCACTTTAAAGGTCAAGAAATAGGGACTTACCTTCCATGTTAAAGTAATTTTTCTTCAGACACTGTTAAGAATAAATCAGATACTTGCTTTTAGCATAACCCCAACTCCATCTTCAGAAAATAAACAGGTAATAACAGACATTGTTTGAATAAGAAACATAGTAAATAAATGAGAATTTCTCATACCAGTTTAAAATTGATATGATGCCTGAGTACTGAGAATAGTACTCAGTTTAAAAATGGAATCCTTTTAAGGCAAAAGTAGGACTTATCCTTGCAATATACAGCAAAACATTCGCTGGATTTTCTCACACCTGATTCCTTTCTCACTTCCCTCCCTCCTTTCACTTACTTAATCACTTAACTTTACAAATATTTATTGATTACTCACAGGTCCAGGTACTGTGCTAAAATCCTTATCTCTCATCAGGTCACACCCACCTTCCACCTAAAGCCTGCCAAGTCTTTTGGTCTAGGCTTTACCTTCAAATTCACTCAGACTTGCACTGCAGAAGTCTCTAGAATGACACCCTTAAATGGAGATATGAGGAAAGTCTGTACATGGAATGTTTGGGAGCATCAACTTATAAATTAATTTATATACATATACACACACACTATATATATATATATATATATAGTTATACTGGATTTTTAAAACTCTTTATTTAACTTTTTATTATACCTTCCTCATTTACAGAGATGTTTCTCGCAGTTCCCACTTTTCAGTGGTTCCAGGCACCTGACTTTAAATGAAAACACCCTCTCTTTGGACTGCCTTGGAGGTGGGGAGGTACAGAGAGAGAAAGAATTTTCTTCTTGGCCCTAATGTCCACCTAATTTTTAAAGCGTAGGTTCCTTATTATTATTATGTTTTAAGCTTACAATTACATGCATAGATTATATTATCAGATGCCTCCATGTCTCATTTCATTTTTCCTAACTTGTGAGGAATGAGTGGAGGGATGGACAGAGTAAAAAATACTTTTCCCTCTGAGAAAAGAAAGATGGGTGTATATGGAAGCAGAGGTTAAAACACTGCTGTGAGACTGGGGGATCAGTGGAGGTCAACATTACATTTAGCCCTCTCCTCAAACGTGATTCTGTTCCATCTACCACCGTACAATAAATAAAGCGAATTTCTCACGCATACAAATAGTTTTTGCATTGGACCAGTTGGTCCAGTTCTCCCATCTGCTAACTTCCTTCCCCCGCTTTGTCTCAGTTCATTAACTTTACCCTTTCCCGTACCCAAACCCTCCACCTAACCTCCCTCCCTCTTCTGGCTACTAGTCACTCTCGACTTTCCGCCACCCTCGTCCTCAAAATCCCCAGCCAGCAGCTGATTGGCGAGCTCAGCGGGCCGGGCCCCAGGTTAAAGTAAGTCAAAGCCAGAGCTCAGAGGTGAGTGACCTGGAGGGTGCGGCGGGGGCCAAGAGGTAGGAAGTGCGTTCCTTTCACGTGGGATTTCAGCGCAAATTTGTCTGGAGTTCTTGCGAGAGAGCTGGCAGGTTTTACTATTTATCACCTACTCGCCAAGCTCGCCTTGGGGCTGCACTCGGTTCTCGGAAACTTCATTCAAAAGCCAGGCTAGGCGGCCCACGAGGTCGGGATTGGGGGATTGTGAATGACCTCGAGGCCACTTCCTCCCTCTCCGAGCCCGTCCTCTACTCCCCTAGTCACCTTCACGGAAACAAAACTGCCCCCCAGGGCTAGAGAGGTCTCTCTCTCAGTCTCCCTCGCAAAGGGTTAATTTGTCAGATCGCACGAGGGGGAGGAGATTTCCCCGTAGACAAGTAAAAAGGGTGATGGACAAACGTGCGGGCACTAAGACCGCAAGGCATTCGTTTCCTCCTACTGTGGATGCGGACGCCCGGAGGAGGAGAGTCCCAGAGCGAGGAGCTGGGAGCAGAGGCACAGGCAATGCTCAACCCCGACCGTAGCTGAGAGAGGCTGGGGGAGACCGATTGCCGGAGACCGAGCGGCGAGGGGAAGACCTAGGGGGGTGGGTGGGGGAAGCAGACAGGCGAGCACTCGAAATCAAGCGCTTTACAGATTATTTTATTTTGTGTAGAGAACACGTAGCGACTCCGAAGATCAGCCCCAATGAACATGTCAGTGTTGACTTTACAAGAATATGAATTCGAAAAGCAGTTCAACGAGAATGAAGCCATCCAGTGGATGCAGGAAAACTGGTAGGTGATGCTTTCGCGTGATACTGTCCCCGGGAGCCCTGCGCGTCTTCCCGGTGTGCCTTAATGTCGGTACTCCCTTTCTGGGGCGTGAATCGAGCGAGGAACCGCGAGCAGCAGTGAGCGGATCGCTGAGTTCCCGGGTCTCCCGGGTGCAGGAGACATTGGGGCTGCATGAAGCGCGTGAGTCTGTGGGTGCCCCTGGGTGAACCGTGGCTACACATGCATCTTTAACATAGATTATATAACATAGACCATATGTGTGTACATAGAGTAGATGTCTGTGCTACAGGGAAGGCGGGAGAGATGCCACAGTCCCTACCTGTGCTACTCCTTGTTTTCCTCTAGATTTGGGTTTTCTTGCTTGGCCTCCCGCAAGCAGAGTGTGAAAGGCAGTGGAGGGAGGACCCAGTTGCCTGCTCCCTTTAACCCTCTCCGGCCCGCCGTCCTCAGCTCTCTGGTCCTCGCCCTCTCCCCATCCTTCCTGCCCTTCCTTTCTCCTTGCAGCTCTGCTACTTCACTGTCTTCCTCTTTGCTGCTCCCCGGCCGGATTCCTCCTTTCCTGGACCCCTTTCCCCACGCGGATCCCTTTCCGGTTTCATAAAGAGACGGAGGCGGGGAGTGGGGGAGGAGGGGACAATGAAAACAGTAATAAAAATGAATGAACCCGAGCGAGTGGAGCCACGCCATTATTAAGTTTGTTTTACGGAAACGCCTTTTGGACACACTCAATTCTAATTCAGTGGGAAACTGCTGACTGGAGTTGAGACACGGATTAAAAACCTCCGGGTCCGCAGAGTCCTTCGGGGCTCTTCCCCAGACAAACTTCTAACCCGGTAAAGCATCTTTCTTGTTCACTGTGTCCCTCCGCCAGTCCTTTTGAAAATCCCTGTGTGGGAAGCGATCCTGTGTCACCTTGCAATATTTAACAGGGTGAGGGTGTGTGTGCTCATCTCGCTTCTTCCCTGTAGATCGAGCTGCTGTGGCAGACATTCTCTTACTCCTCTTAACCCCAGGTCTGGCGATCAGTAAAGAGCAAGCCCAACGCACCCCCAAGCTGGGCAGCGGCTGGCAGCCTCCCAGGTGCTGAATGAGAGGGTCCGGCCAAGGGGGCTCCCTCCTGGGATCTGGGGGATCCCGCCCGCCGCGTGCGCGAGCGCTTGCCCCGGCGCCCTCACGACCTGCCTTCCCTCCCCCATCTCATCAATGGGAAACCAGAGACGCCGGCGCGCCGGTGGGCCGGGGCGGGGGAGCGGTGCAACAGGGGCTGCCGTGCACCGGAACCGGGTGGTGGGGGTTCAACGTCTTTTTCTCCGGCCCCCGGGAGTCGCGACTAGCCTCGGAGGGTTCGGCCGCCGCTCCCGCCTCCTCCCTCCCGGCCAGCCCGCCCGGGACCGGCGGGCCATTTGCGGCCGCAGCCCGGCCGGGCCCGCCCCCTGCGCCGTGCGTGCCGACTGGGCCCGGCCTGTTGGGGCGGGCGCGACCGGCCCGGCGCGCGGCCCTGCGCGCTCACGCTCGCTGCGGCGTGGCTGGGGGCTTCCGAGGGCGCGGGGGCCGGAGGGCCGCTGCGGGCCGCTGCGGGCCGCTGCCGGAAGCCAGGAGGGGACCGCGATCCGCTCGGGAAGCCGGGAAGTGCGGCAACACACGGGGCGCGGGGCCGGGGCGCCCCCTGGGCCGCCGAGGCCGAAAGCGCCGAGGGTGGGTCCGGAAGACGGCTGTGCACCGGGAGGCTCGATCCAGTAGGAGTTTAGGCATTTAAGGCCTCGGCGCTCCGGGAGGCCAGGCCCCCTCGGGCGCCACCAAGGGAACCTTCTCCAGCGGCACTTCCTCCTCCCGCGAAGGGGGTGGCGCTGAAGGCAGGGCGGGGGCGGTGGCCCGGGGTGGCGGGCGGCACGGCGGGCCAGCCGAAGGCTCTAGTCTTCTCTGCAGCTGTCTGTCGCGTTCGCTTGCCACACGGCTCAGCCCATCTTCCTCCCCCGTTGGCCCTGCGCGCTCTGTGGTTTCTAACGTCCGCCCTGTCTCCAGCTTGCTGCACCCTTGTTGAACCTGCGTCTCTGGAGCCGGCCTCCCCTCGCGCCGGCAGCTCGTTTTCACTGTGGGCCAGTGCCCCTCCGCGGTGGATACTGTCTCTTATTCACTTGTTGCCTTTTCTCTGAGGCCACTGTCTGTGGCTCCTCCACCTCCAGGTACCATTTCCCGCCTCTTTTCTCCGCTCGCTCAACAAGTACACACTCAACCAGACAGGGCCTAGCTCTCTGGGGACTGAAAATGGCAAAAGTGAGCCAATTAATCTTCGCTTGTTGGGCTCTTGCCACACTTTCCTCCTAGCTCTTTATCTGTACCTTTAATCTGGCAATGTCTTTCCTGGCTTTTCTTCATATGCCTAAATATTTGCATGTGTGTCTGTGCCTCCTATTAGACCATCATCTCTTCAGCGCATTGGTTCTTGTCTCATTCCAATCTTGATTATGCGGAGCACCTCGAAGAGTGCATTGTACCTGGCAGATGCTGGGGAAAAGGGTTGTCTAGTGGGTTAAAATGATGATGGGTGTCCATTTTATTGCCAGCACTACCTGTTAATACTCGAAGCGTAACATACTTGGCCTCCCCTTGCGTTTTGAATACTATGTCATAGTCACACACTAGGGTTTCCCCTTCCTGACTTCTCTCTTTGACCTTAATTGTCTTGCTTCTTTTATCCCAGGGTGTATGCATTTCTCCCAATATCCTTGGGTCCCAGTTTTATAAGCCTCCCCCCAAAACCTCAACAGCCAAAAAGTTTTGAACCAGGTATATAAGAAAATGAAGATTTCCTTTTCATTTCCCTTGTTAACAGGAGAAGGCACTCCATAACCAAGGCTTACACCCTCTTGGGGGCAGGGGAAGTTTAGGAAACACAAGGTCTTACCTTTCCCAGACTCATTAACTAAAAATGGCTTGAATAGCTTCTGGAGGAAAAACACAATGTTGTGAAGTTTCTACTCTATTTTTTGACAAGACACTTTCAGTGGTCCTTAAAAATCCCTTAGACATAGCCTCAATTTAGAGGCTACGTCAAAACTCAATTTAGAGAATTATAACTTATCTCTCAGAAATAAGTTACACTTACTGTCTTTTGAAGAATTGTGAGGAAGGCCAGGAGTGCTGTTTTGTCAGTATGCTGTCTGAACTACCTTTTGAATATTGTTTGAAGGCCTTTATTAAACTTATCTTATAATCCATATTCATTACCTTGTTACATATTAGTGTAATGGGACCCATTTTTGGAGTGGTGTTTTTATAAACTAAAGGGTTCAACTGAGGGAAGTTTATCAAGTTAATTGCTGCTTAAACAATGATTAACCCTGTATGCATTGTTCTAGACACAGGATAAATACTATAGACTGTTTTACTCTTCTAGCAGGTGGTTTCACATGTAATAGATTAGAAAAGCTATGGAAATGCAAAGTAATAAATATTATACCTTGGAGAATCATCCTGAGCCACATCTTGAAATTATATGTCAAGTTAAAAATATCCTGGGTAATATTATCTGGTAAATGAAAGTGTTTTGCATGAGGTAGAGGAAAGTGCCTGCTTTTAGCTCAACAGCATTTTTGACTTCCGATTTTACACAGAAAAGCCCTTGTGATTTTATGGCATTGAAAATAGAGGCATTTTGTTCTTTTATGAGATGTCTGGCCTTTACCTGTTACTTTCACGAACAGCTGACTTAATTTATAAGGGCTGCCATCAAGAGAGCAAAACCGCCTAGTGATTGGTAAGGTGACATAAAATTCATTGAGTGAGAAGGGCAGCTGGGCTCTGCCTTCTCTTTCAGCAGCCTGTCAGGCCTGTGCTAGCAGCCCTGGATGCTAGTTGCTCCAGTTGTAATTGTCTGGCCAATGATGATTATCTTCTGATGTCGGCTGACACGGTGTCCACCAATAGGAAAGCAGGAGGCCTGTGCTGACTGCTGTAACATTATGTATGTGAGGTGACGTCATCACAGGGCTTGTCTAGAACCTCACGAAACCCTCCCCCGCTCCCCTCTGGCATCCTCCACATCCAGCTTTGTATATTTTTCTGACTTTCTCCCCTCCCTCCACCCGTGGTAATGGTTATAAGGGTTTTATTGTTTTTATATTTTGAGTTCTGTATTTGGGGTCTATAAGATAGTGTAGGAATTTTTAGAAGTAAATACTGTCTGGCTAAGGAAACTTTATCCACAAATTGGATTTTACTAAGGAAAAATAATAAAAGAAACACTATCAGTAAAAGGAATTGTACATCTTTATGTTCTTTCTTATATGTGAGGTTTGGAAAGTAATGTACAATTTCAGTATGAAAAAACTATAAAAGTATTATAAGCCTGTGTTAGATTTTTACTCAAAATATAGCATCGTAATGTCTATCAAACTAGAATGCAGACTGTTGTTCTTCCTGTAGTGACAGTTGCTTTGCATTGATTTTTAAAATCCTCCTTGTGACCTGTTGTATGCTTTTGTAAGAAAAGTGGCTGGAAAACAGTACAATCTGTGGTCATGAGTCAGAAAAGGCCACGGTGTCTCATTTAATCAATGACACTACAGCAAATACAAATTTGGTCAGCTGTCTAGGAAACTACTGTGTCCACATTGTACACAGTGTGTTGCTTGCCACTTATTTTGGAGAATCACAGTTCATATTAGCCTTAAGACTGAAAATCCTAAGTGTGAGGCACTTAACATTTCATTCAATAAACTTTAGAAAGCACTGAGATGTTGCCTAATATGTACTAGGTTAAGAATGAGAACACTGAGAAAAAGTATACAGAGGAAAATTGGAATCTGTTATGATCCTAGAAAATAATGGAATGTTGTGAAGGAACTTTAATCTGAACTTTTATGTAGCTTTAAAAAAAGGATGTATATCCATGCAGTCTTTGAATTTTTTTAGGATTTCCAGGGATAATGCAAAATTATTTTATGATTATCCATCTCTGTATTTGCATTAGTAATAAATATTATGCGTATGGTGGTAAA